GGGGGTGGAGTCCGGCCGAATTCCACGCCCCGGTTCGACGCGCTATGCTCTGGTTGGACGGGCTATTCCCTGGCAAAATGGGGCCATGCCCTGGTTGGGGCCTTCGAACCATTCGAAAAACACCGCGCCCGCGCGCCCAAAACGCCAAACACCACCAAACACCAAACAACAAACAACAACCCGAAACCCCAAACACCAAGCCCCAAACAGCAACCCCCTAACCCCAAAGGCCAAACGACAACCCCCAAACAACAAACGCCCAACCCCAGAATACAAACGCCAAACCCCAAACGCAAAAAACCAAACACCGACCCCCAAACGCCAAACACCAAACCCCAGACGCCAAGTCCCAAACTCCAAACACTAAACCCGACCCCCCAGACGCTAAATCCCAAACCCCAAACACCAAACCGTCGTCGTTTTCCTTTTCCTGCCTCCCTCATTCCTCGTCGTTTTCCCCCCTCCTCGTTATCGTCGTCGCGGGATTTGCCGATGGCCCGCAGGCAGGGCGGCGTGCCAGCGGGGGGGGCAGGGCGAGGAGGAACAGGAGGGGGAGGACGAGGGGGGGGAGGAGGAGGGCGCGGAGGAAGGCGTGGAGGAACACCGTTGGCTCGGGAATGGCTGTGATTCCCGAACCGTTCTTTGGGTCAGAGTCTGGAGACCCTGTTGTGGCCGAGGTTCGCCGTGGCCGTCAAAGTCCCTTCGCTCTCAAAATCTGTTTCTTTGTGGCTCGTGAGAGAAACTGTCCTGGGGAAGGCGGGTCCTTCCTGGATTTTTCTCGCCGCTTTCGGGCTCCGGGGGCCTCAGCAGGCCCGCGGCTTCTTTTAGAGTTCCTGAGGGTGCCCTAGGTTTTATTCGGGTTCCTTAGGATGCGTTGAGATTCGTTCAGGGTTTCTTATAATCCAATTCAAGAGTCCACAAAATCTCCAACACCTTCCTCAATATTCCAATTCGGCGCATCCTTGGGATTCCTGGGGATCCTTCGAGGTTCCGTGGGAAACCTTCGGGTTCTTTCGGATTGCGTCGGGTTCCTTAGGATTCCTCGGGGATATGTGGGGTTTCTTCGGATTCTGTCAAGGTTCTTCACGGTTCCTTTAGGAATCGTAACCGTTCACAAAAAATAACATGCGATTTACATCGGAATCGGAAACGGAACACATAAGAGTCGTAACTGGTTCACATCGGAATCGTGTACGATTCAACCCAAAACTGCGTACGATACACATAAAGTTCGTATTCGATTCGTAGAGAAAACGGAGGGGATTCAAATAGGACTCGTAAACTGCCCACATCGGGATCGTATACGATTTACATCAGAAACGCGTGCGTCGCACATCGGCTTCGTAAACGACCCACATCGGAATCGTACACGATTCGATGCGCACACGATCCGTCTACGGTTCACATGGGGATCGTATGCGATTCGCACAGGAAACGTATACGATACACGTAAGACTTGAATACGATTCACATGGGCTTGTAAACGATGCGCATTGTAAGTGTATGCGGTTCATACAAGAATCGTATCCGATTCGTACGATTCACATAGCACGCGTGTGCGTCTCCCGTAGGAGTCGTCTCCGATGCACATTGCGATCGTATACGGTCGACACACGTTTCGTAGACGATTCACATAGGAATGGCAATCGTTTGCGTTCACATATGGGTGGTCTACAACTCACACAAGAACCGCATGCGATTCACATAGGGGTGTTAGACGAGTCACATCGGCGTGTACGGTTCACGGAGGGAGGGATCGTGTGCGATTCACATCGGGCTTGCCTACGATTCATGTAAGAACCGAATGCAATGCACATGAAACTCGTATAGGAATCGCAGAAGGGTGTTAGACAACCCACATCGGAATCATATACGCTCCACATCGGAGTCGTGCACTGTTCATTACAACAGAAACGAATGCGATCCACAGAACTCGCATACGTTACACATGGATAAACCTGTATTCACCGTGGAACCGTATACGATTCACATGAAATTCGTCCACTGTTCACATAACATTCGTGTACTTTCACATCGGGATCGTCGACGATGCACATTAGATAGAATCGTATGCACTTCGCATCGGGATCGTATACGATTCACGTATGCATCCTACATGAATCACATAGGAATCGTATACGATGCACATAGCAGTCGTATGCGATTCACATGGGGTACCTCTACGATTCACACAAAATTCGTGTACGTTTCACTCTGTTTCGTAAACGGTTCCCATCGTTTGTTCAGATCTATGAGTATATATGTATATATATGTATATATATACATAGCTATGTATATATATATATATATGTTCACATCGGGCCCGCCCGCTCAAACTATCATTGCTGCAGATGGGTTGTCCCCGCTTGTTTTTCCCACGAAACAATGCCATGTGGGCCTTTTCACGGCACACCAGTGGCACCCCAGAATTTCTAGAGATGGCTTACAGTCGAAATGGATTGCGGGAACGGTTCCGAAGCTTACATGCCAGGAGGGTGTCCCCCGGTCAACCAGGGTATAGCCCGTCCAACTGGGTCATAGCCCATCCAGCCGGGGTCTAGACTATTGCTGGTGGGGTCACCGGCCCTCTTAATATATGTATGTATGTATGTATTTATGTATGTATGCATGTTGTCATATATAAAGCATATACACGCATCACCTATAAACATACGGGCACAACTTGCAAAACGGAGGCATGGACATGAAGTGACGGCGCGGGCAATATCGTCGACATGGAAAGCCTGGGATTACGCGAGGGGGACCGGGGGACGGAGGGAGGTGGGAGTAGAGGGCCTCAGGGCCACCCACGCGGCTCGGGTTTTGAACGACCCCCGACATCTGGATCTTGGAGTATCGTCGCGACATGCTTCCACATTCTGCTGTTACATTCAATTTCACACTCGGCCATGATAATGAATGACCTGCTTCCACTGATCCGTAGTGTACACCATATTATATCCAGACGCGAAGAGTGTATGATAACGTGTCGTTCTCTTTGTCGTAGTGTCGTCGTATGTTACAGCCTGATGCAAGCTGGCAACAATTTGTTCCCATATCAAACTCACAATATATAAATGTCACTGGGGCGGATCCAAAGGATCGCCACATCGTCAATATGACCACTGACGTCACGCCATGCCAATGTAACCGCTGTCGCATGGTTTCTGTTGTCAACCCAACTTCAGGGAGTAGTGTAGCTCTGCCGCGTCCAGACTGGAAAATGCTCCAAACGAAACTTGTTCCATACTCTCGTGGCGTTCGCTGACTGTCCAATTCGTCATTGTTTTGGATGTTGGCGCGCCCAGTGCTATTCATATTGTTATTGACGCGAGCAGCTGATGCCAAACCAACATAATAAAGAAACGCTGATACACACATCGACATGGTCAACTATTTGGACTGACGGCGCCGTCGTTTCAGACACCTGTCTCGAGCTAATACAACTGCGGAGGATGTGCCTGGCTCACCGAGGGAAAGGGGAGAGAGGTCCAGGTCAAAGAAAGAGAAGGAAAAAGAAATGAGTTTTGGGCCGTACATCCGACGAGTTGCTCTCGGAGGAATCATTTTGTCAACTGCGGAGGAGGCATGTGGATGGTGAAGGGGGGGGAGTAGGGGAGAAATACCAAGACGAACAACAAGAAGATGACGAGGACAGGTAGAGGGAGAAAACCGTAATTTGCGACTCCCGCCAACTCCTGGGGCGTGGATCGTCTAGGGTGCCGGAATTTCTGGACAAGCACTTCTTCCTTTTCGGAGTGCACGCTGGCGACAGACGACCCCAAACAGCGTGATTAAGTACAAAATGCGTTCTCCTGTGCTGTACGCGCGGGAGGAAGGCTATGCGGGAGACCAAACGAGAAACCATACGGGAGAACATACTGGAAATCACATGAGATACCACGCGGGAGTCCGTGCGGGATTCTATGCCGGAGACCATACAAGATACCATACATATAACCATGCGGGATACCAGACAAGATACAAGGCGGGAGACCACGCTGGAAATCATACGGGAGACCACATGGGAGACCATACGGGAGACCCTAAAAAATCACCGAGACTGGGGCGTCACCGAGTCTCGGAGTCTGGGGCCGGCAACCCCTCTCCGGCCCTTCTTGCGGGCCATCTGTAGAGAGCCCCTACAGACAAGCCGTGTAGGGGATGCTGGTCACCTCCTTTCTCATTCCTTCTGGGGCTGGCCCTTTCGGTCGTGCGGCGTTGGAGCGTCCAAGATGGCACAACATAGTGCCCGATGCGGTGCCCGGGTTGGTCCAGATTGCCTTCAGCGTGGCCTCAAGAAACCGCAAGAAAGGTCAAATATGGCTCCGATAAGCTGCCGTCCCGAGGATGCCCTGAAATGAGTGAGCCAACGTTTCCTGCCGATTTTCGCATCCTTGCTCTTGTGGCCTCTGATTCTCCTCACAGGTACTTGATGGCCAGATGGCCCCAGTGGCCAGTGACCTTACATGGGGACCCAGGAGAGTCTCAACAGGGCGCGAAGGTTACTAAGAGCACCCGAGGAGGGTCCCACTAGCCCCAACTGGCAGTGTTTAGGAGTCTCAAGGGAAGAACAAATCAACTAGATTTTGCTTGGGCCGATGGCATCCAACATGGCCCGAGAGAACTCCCCAAAGACACCGATACAATCCCAAGTGAATGTTCCGACATACCCCCAAGAAGATTGAATCTTGCCTCAGAAGAACTTCGGGGCAACACGGCAGCCAAAGCCTAGCTGCGCCTGGAGAAGCTACGCTTCGCTGCGCTAGTCTGAGTTACCCCTAGCTAAGGCCGAGTTTGGCCAAACTAGGCTACGCCAACTTCGGCTGAGCAAAGCGGCGCACCCACCTGACAATCCACGCCCAGCCAGACTACGGCCCGCTGACCTGAGATGAGCTGGCCGAGAGGATAAAGTGGAACGACGGGGGACTGGAAATACCCGCGCGGGACCAGGTTGGCATGCATGTCTGGCAATCATGGGCGGCTGAAGCGCGAGGGCCTCCGTGGCCTCGCGCGTGGCGGCGGCCAGGGCACTGGCGGCGGCCGCCGCGCGAGCGGCAACCGCCTCCTGCGGCCAGGGGGGGCTTTGGCAAGCCCCTTTGCTTCCCCCCTGTCGTTCTCTGGCCCCTCCCCGCCGCTTGCCTCCCTCCTTCATGCCTCTCCTCCTCTCCTCCCTGCGGATCTCGCAGGCCTCGGGACACGATGTGCCACGCGTTGCGGACTCCTGTGCGCCCCCCGAACACTCGCCACGCAAGGTGATGGGCTGGCACGGCGGCGGGACTTGCCGCAAGCAACAAGATAAATTCCCCGACGTGTTCACCGTGGGAACCCCAAGCCGTACGAGAGCCGGCGGCTCGGGTACCATCCCTCGCGCCCCGACGAAAGAGAAGAGAGGAGGAGGAAGAGCAGGAGGAGGACGAGGAGGAGGATGAAAAGGAGGGCCATCACAAACGAATATGCATCAACGATGCTGCAGTACACCCTCCGGTCCTCAGTTTTCTTCTGAAGTCCCTACAAGTATTCAGTTACACTTCAAGGAGCGCCTCCTAGACAGACCAGGACCCCCTGGGCCTCCTACCATTCAGGCGAGAGCCCCCTTCTGAAAAGGAACTGTCTTGCTTGCATCTTTCAGGCGCATAAGCAGAAGGCGAACCAGTATGATCGTACACTTCAACGATGTGTTCAGCGAGGTTCCCGTTTGAAGAAGAGCCTCCCCGATCCTCGTAGCGCTTGCAAACTTTAATGAATACTGTGAAGGAGGGCTACCGCGAAAGCCCTATTGTGAAGATGACCACCATACGTCCAGTAATCCCACCAGCCCTTTAGGGCGTAGGTGGTCTAGGGAGTTTCCTCTGCCAACCCCCCTTCTTTCCCTTCGGGGAGGGGTTTACCCCTCCCCTTACCCCTCCCCACTGACCTGGACGAGGCGTCTCGCGAGGTGTCAGGGCGCCCAAGATGGCTCAAGACGGCTCCAAGAGCGAAAAAGCGAGAAAGCACAAAACATTGATTCTACCTAGGTTTTGGAAGGATTTTGGCCTCTTGGGGGGGCCCAAGAGGCGCTTCGAGGCACTCTAGAGGGGCAACCCTAATTGGAGCTCCCCCCTTCTTTGATAGATCTCCTCCAAGATGGCCCCAAGAGCGCCCCGAAGGCTCCCAAGAGCGCCCCAAGAGCGCCCCAAGAGGGCCCCGAGAGACCCCAAGAGGCCCCCAAGAAGCCTCTAAGAGGCTGCCAAGAGACCCCCAAGAGGCCCCAAGAGAGTTCAAGATGGCCCAAGACGGCTCCAAGAGCGAAAAGGCGAGAAAGCAACAAACAAATTGATTTTCCTTAGGTTTTGGACGGATTTTGGCCTCTAGGAAGGCCCAAGAAGCGATTCGAGGCACTCTAGAGGGGCAACGCTAATAAGCAACCCCCCCTTCTTTGATAGATCTCCTCCAATATGGCCCCAAGAGCGCCCCGAAGGCTCCCAAGAGCGCCCCAAGAGCGCCCCAAGAATGCCCCAAGAGGCCCCAAGAGGCCCCCAAGAAGCCTCCAAGAGGCCTCCAAGAGACTCCCAAAAGGCCACAAGAAGCTCCCCGAGATACGCAAGAGGCCTCCGGGACCGCCAAGAGGCCCCAAAGACGGCCCAAGAGGCCCCCAAGCTCGCCATTGTCCTCCTCCTCCTCCTCTTTTTCTCCCTCCTCCCTCCTCCCCCTCCCCCTCCTCCTCCTCCTCCTTCTCCTCCTCCTCCTCCTCCTTCTCGTCCTCCTCGTCCTCGCCCTCCTCCATCTCCTCCTCCTCATCTTCCTCCTCCTCCTCCTCCTCCTCCTCCTCCCCCTCCTCCTCCTGCTCCTCCTCCTGCTCCTCGTCTTCCTCCTCCTACTCCGACGACGACGACTCCTCCTACATCCTCCCCCTCTTGGAGCGTATGGCGGCTTAACCCGCTCTTTGTTCTTCTGCATGCTCCCCCGCTTCCCTCATCACCTCCACTCCCCTGGGGCTCATTTCTGGACGGGCTGGTGGGGATACGCGAAGCGTCTAGAATTGTTGCAAGTTGTAAGACGAACTTTCAAGACACATGAGCGCGCCGATGGGGCGATACCACCGTTTTGAAACGGCCTGTACTCCAGAACTGTAACACTTGCAAACTTTGTAAACGCGTGTGCGCAGCGTTAAGGTAATAATTCTACTCCGACAACGACCCCCCTCCATCAGTGTAAATGTTGTGAATTCGAGCTTGACGACCATACATGGTGCGGAAGTGTCAGGCCAACCGCCCACCCAGCCCTTCCAACACGTCTGCGTGTGCGAGATGGGGGGATATCTTTTAGGTGCTGAGAGGAGGCCCATCAACACCGCGCTTGGAGCCCCGTGCTTGCGTTTCCCTCCCGCCTCTTGAAAAGTGACTCGCTGTGCTGGTGTGTGTACAGCCACCCACGGGTTCTCCTACCGACCGAGTCTGGCGCAAGACTGGGATATAACCTGTCGGTCGGAAGAAGTGTATGGAAACATGAAGTAGGAAGACGGTGAAGGTAGATTGAGCTTCCGCCCGCCCTCTGAAGAGGAATGAAGAGGGGGGAAAGTAGGAAGGCCCCTGAAATAGATTGGGATCTGGAAATCCAGGAATACCTACTTTCAACGACCGACGGGTAAACATTCACATGCGCTGTGATGATAGTGAGCTTGGAACAAGGGGATGCAACCTCACCCTGGGAGGCCCTGCCCGCTGCCGCGATGGCTGCCTCATGCCATTCTCTGCCACCACTCAATTTAATTCCCTATCGATGAGGATTCGGTCTCATCCCTTCGATGCCGACCGACCGACTGACCGAGAAAGAGGACGAGGAGGCGGAGGAGGAGGCGGACGAGGCGGAGGCGGACGAGTGCTGCATTCCCTGGTGGGAACCGAAGGTCCGCAATTCGCAGGAGGCGGAGGAGGAGGACGATGAGGAGCAGGAGTGGATCAGAGAGAGGGAGAGAGAGAGAGAGAGAGAGAGAGAGAGAGAGAGATGGAGGAGAAGGAACGCGCTCTCGACGCCAAGGGCCCACGGGCGAGGCGCCCAGGGTGCACAAACGGGGGGGTCCTGTCCTCTGCGCTCTCCGCAGCAGCGGCTTTCGCGGCGGCGTGCCGGGCGGCGGCCTCTTCTCGTGCGCGGGGGGGGATCACGCGTGCAATGACAAGCGGGGATGGAGGCCGTTTTGCGAGGGACACGGGGCAGGGGGTCCTCCGCGAAGCGGTGTGCGTCCAAGCCCTCATGGAGGCCTCTTGGAGGCCCCTTCGGGGCCTCTTGAGCTGGCGTAGGGCGCTCTTGGTCCGTCGGACGCCTTGCGAGGTGGGGACTCATCAATAAACACAGCCAGGGTGATCGATCTTCGGGGACCTCGGTTCGCGGTGGACATGGATGCACAGGGCCCGAACACGCCCAAATCCACCGTCCGCCGCCGAGGTCTGCGAAGAGATACATTCCCCGCCGAGGTTATGGATAGATGCCCGCCTCGGACGCAGCGCCTTGTGCAAGACCTACCGAGGCACGGTGCCGACACAGCCCAAGCCCAGAAAGAAAGCGTGCTCCTCGGAAAGCTCCTCGGATGCCTGGTTTTTCCCCAACCTACCTTCGCGGCTGGGTTCTGAATGCGCAACGCCGCGCGTCCCCTCCCTTCCGCTCCCACTTCTTCTTCCTCCTGCTTGCGCGCCGCCGCGCGCACTGTTCGGCACACCAGTCGCGCGAATCGTGGCCCATAACTTGGCTCAGCCTGAGACTGACGGCTCGAGTCTATGAGCGCCGCCTATCTCAAATGGTACTTTACGAAGGCACTGTGATTGTGTTCGTGCACGTGTAGTCTACCCTTCCTAGGACGTGCGAGACCTCGCCCCGGGGGTGCTGCCATACTTGCAACAATCGTCGCCCTCGAGCGCTCTTATATGGGGCAAGCGGGGTGCGGCCGTGCGCAGATCAAACTGACCTTTTTCCCTGGATGCTGCCAAACGTGCAAAAGGTAGTCGTGTTCCCGCACCCCCAACAGGGGTCCAGCGGAGTACCACCGTACGCACATCCCAAAAATACCTCGCCCCCGTGAATGCTGTTAAACGTATATCAATCGCATCTTTTCTGGGACTGTTTAGGGGCTCGACGGGGTATATGGGTGCTGCCACATGCAATGATACAACCTCCATTGCCGTGCGCCCATGGGCGGCTCACCGGACTGCTGCCTTCGGCAGACCTAACTCCACCATCTCGCACCCTGGTGCTCTGACGAGTACAAAATTCTCGCTGTTCCTCGCAAGCCAACATGAAACGTCACCCACTTGGTACTGCCGTAGGTGCAACGGTCGCCACTTTCCTACTCCCCCTGTGGGGTTCAGCGGGGCGCACCCTCACGCAGATCCTTGCACCCGTGTGGACCACCAAGCATGCAACAACGGTCTTAGAAGGTCCTTTGACGGCCCAAGACGACCCCCAGACACCCACCGTACGGCCAAGAGGGCCCCAAGACGGCACAAGAGAGCTCGAAGACGGCGCAAGAGGGCCGCAAGACGCCCAACAGGTCCCCAAAGGATCCCCAAAGACTGTCTCACGGGAGGCCAAGACAGCCCCAAGACGGCCCAAACGAGTTCCATGAGAGCTCCTCGAATAGCGAAGACGGAAAATGTTACATGTGGCGGCCTTCCTCTTACTCCTCCTTCTCGTCCTCCTCCTCCTCCTCCTCTTCGTCGTCGTGGCCATCGTCATCGTCATCCTCCTCCTCTTCATCATCCTCCTCCTCCTCCTCCTCATCATCATCATCATCATCACATTCATCAGCATCATCATCACCGTCATCGTCATCGTCATCAGCACAACCACCACCGCCATCATCATCAGCAGCAGCATCATCACCATGAACATCACCACCACCATCACCACCATGACCACCACCATCAACACCACAACCATCATCATCAGCATCGTCATCATCATCATCACCATCAACATCACCACCACCATCACCACCGTCATCATCAGCATGATCTGCACCATCACCACCACCATCACCACCACCATCACCACCATCATCATCATCAGCATCGTCATCATCTTCACCATCACCACCGCCATCATCACCATCATCGACAACACCACCTTCTCCATCATCATCATTGCCATCATCATCACCATCAGAATCATCACCATCACCATCACCATCCTCATCACCATCAGTATCGTATCACCATATCACCATCTCATCACCACCATCACCATCACCATCACCATCATCACCATCACCATCACCAACACCATCACCATCACCATCACCATCACCATCACCATCACCATCACCAACATCATCATCATCCATCATCCATCACCATCACCATCACCATCACCATCACCATCACCATCACCATCACCGTCACCACACCATCACCACCATTATCATCACCACCACCAAGTGCCATAATTGACGGCTTCTCACAGCCCCAGTGAATAGTCGCCACCCAGCATGCTGGGCTGGTGGCACGGTGGCGGGACTTGCCGCAGGCAGCTGGATAAATTCGCAACAGCGACCCAAGAGGCCTTCGGACAGCCCAAGAGAGCTCCGAGACGGCCCCAGAGGGCGCCAAGACGGCCCGAGGAGCCTCCGAATAGCCCTATGCACACACAGCCCAGGGTGCCCCAGAAGATCCCGACAGGACACCTGAAGGCCTTAGAAGACTCCCAAGATGCCCAAGGAGAGCCCCAGACGGTCCCAGCAGCCCGCAGGGTAGCCTCGAAAATTCTTCACGATCCCTACATCATCCACTTCTGCTCGTGCTTCTGGCCCCACTTGTCTTGTAAGGTTTATTGGTTGGGACTTTCCGAACGCGACCCCCTATGCATGAAACACTTTCCGCCGTGAAGGGGGGGAGCTATCATGATGGATGCATTTTGGATGTGTATGCGTGTCGCATGCATTTGCGTAGATTAGCTGCTGTTCCCCAAACAGTCTTTGCACTTAGGCTTTCTTACTTCTCTCCCATAAGGAGATTGGTTGAGTCTGGCGAGGGTTCTTCACGGTGCCGCCCGTTGATGCCCGTTGCTGCCTCGTTGCTGTCTCGTGCGCTGGGTGGGCCTGGCGAGGTTTTGTCAGACTGCCGACTCGTTGCCGCGTCGTTGCCGCCTCGTGCGCTGGTCGGGTCCAGCCAGCGAGGATTCTTCACGGTGCCGCTCGTTGTCTCCTCGCTGCCGCCTCGTGCGCTGCGTGGGTCCGGCGAGGTTTCGCCACGCAGCCTCGTTGCTGCTGGGTGGGTCAGTCGAGGTTTCGCCTCGTTGCCGCGTCGTTGCCTCCTCGAGCGCTGGGTGGGTCTGGCGAGGTTTCGCCATGTTGCCACTCGTTGCTGCTTCGCTGTCGCCTCGTATACTGCACCGCATAGCTTGCACCACATAGCTAACGCAGCCACAGTGCACCAACCTACAGTTTTGCGTCCACGCTGGCTGACACTCATTATTATCTCTTGTCAGCTGTGCTTGCTGATTCTCTCTCTCTCTCTCTCGCTTTCTCTCCTACCCCTGCTTGTCTCAAAGAGCAAAACGCCATGGCGCTTCCTTTTCCTGCTTGCATCTTGTGCCCACCCCTCCACGTGCGGCGTGCCTCCGAGTCCTCCAGCCGCCTGCGAGCATCACTAGCCTTCAGGGGCAGAGGGCGGCCGAAGCAGGGGAGGAGGGAAGACGACGAGAAAGGGGATGAGGAGGAAGAGGAGCAGGGAGAACGAGATGATGATGACGATGATGGTGGTGATGATGGGGGGGGGGATAAGGCGCGGGTGACGATGACAGGCGACGACGACAGGCGCTCGAAGAGAAAGCGGGATGGGGCGCGGGTGCTCGGCGGCCTAAGAAGCCAGGGTAAAGCAAACGGGGGTCAAACGACGGCGCCGTGCTGGACGCATATCCATGTGATCTCCCCAGAAGGCGCAGGAGAGCGAGGCCCATGGAAGCTCCATGAGGCCCTCAGCGGGCTCCAGGATAGAGGACAGAATAATCAACCTCATGAGAAAGCTCCCCCTGCAAGCGACGTCCTGTAGTAAACGCACCTGAGGAAGGAATCGAACAGGACAGGGCTGCTCAGCAAACGCCCAGGACCGTTCAGTAAACGCCCACTGTGTGGGTCGGGGTGATTTCTCATCCTTCGACAGAAGGCCCAAGGAAACGACAGGAACTCTCCTGGATGCCCCAGGATGCCCCAAAGCGGGGTGCGGACACGGGCCGGGGTCCAATACAGTCCAGCTGCTGCCAAAGGAACGCTTACTTCAGGAACGGGGCCCCTTTTGGCCTCCAAAGCGCCTGCGTGCACGATGAGCGTCAGAGGATCAACCAAGGAAGGACTTAAAGGAACAGCGAGGCCTTCCGAACCCGAGCTGCTCCTTCTTCTAGCGTCTTGAGAGCATCTCCCCCTTCAGAAGGCCCAGGCATGTCGATCGACCAGGGCCGCGGCGCTCGACGAGGCCCTCGGCAACGGCGGAGTGCTCCGCGCTTCGCCGTGGACCTGGCCCGGCCTTGGGCCAGGGCTGGGACCAGGCGGCCGACGAGCCCGCCTCGGGAGCGGGGCGGCTGCCACTCCCTGGCGTCCAGGAGCCGCCCTCCAGGCGTGGCCCCCACCCCGTGCTGCTGCGGTTGGCCCCCTGCACCTGGCCCGGAGCACTTGAAGCGTGGAGCGCGGCTAGCTCGAGTTGTGACGACCTCTGCGCCGGCTTCTGACCCCATCTGACCACCGCGTGGATCGTTCAGCCTTGGACGATCGGGGACTTTCGATCGCGCAGATCGTTCCACAACGGTCGATTCCAGGCCACCCGTGGCGATCGACTTTGAGCGCCCGCGGCGGGGCCGCTGCCGCGCCGACACGACGCGCGCCCACTGTGGCCCTCCGAGAAGGCTCCCTCGCAGGCGGGAGGGCTCCCGAGAAGCCCCCGACCTCGCCTTCCTGAGAAGGCACCCACACTTGCGCCGCGCCCCTCTGCGCGCCGCTGCCGACTCCCCCCCGTCTTCTTCTCCGCCCCGCTCCCTCTCGCCCTCCTCTGCACCTTCGGTGACCTGAGGCGCGCCTAGTCCTTCGAAGAGCAGCCGGCGCACGACAGCAAAGGGTGAGCGGCTCACAGGCTGGGCCCGGTCGGGGAGGGGGAAGGGTCATGGGGTGGAAGGGGGGAAAGCTGAAACGAAGGGAGGGACGACATGGGATTCCCTGGAAAGGGGGAAAGTGGAAATGAGGAAGGGCATGGCCTGGCCTGGAACCCGCTCCTCGGCACCAGCCCGAGCCGGCCCCTGGGCCGTCTGGGGGGCAGTCGCAGGGCTGCCGCCGCACGATTGGCCCGGGCCCGGGGGCGCCGACCCGCTCGTCGTGCGGCCCGCCTCGCCGTCCGCAGCAAGCCGAGAGCTCGCCCGCAGCAGGCGCCGCCGCCCCTCCCGTGCTGCGCTTCTCTCCTCCTCCGCTCCTCCGCTGCCGCCCCGCTCCTCGGCCCTCGGCCCTCGGCCCTCGGTCCCTTTTTCTTGCTGTTTTTGTTTTGTTCACGGCACGAACCACCAACATGGTGCTTCCATCGGCTGCACGCAGGAGCGACCCCGGGCAAGAGTGACCTTTGGTGCGCGTCGTTCGGAGGGCGCGGAGGGGGGGAAACCCGAGCGCGGAAGCCGCTGCTGTCGCATCGCACTCGGCCATCTGGGGACCACAATGAGCCCGCACCAGTAGTCACTCCGACGAAAGGTCACTCTGACGGGTAGCCGATCCCACCTTCGAGCCCTGGGATCGGCGGCGAGGCCGCGGACGGACTCCCTCGGGCGAAGCGTGGGTGGGCGGTGGGGGCGGGGCGGAGGGCGCGGAGGCGGACAGGGCGGGTGCTGGCCCGCCGGCCAGGATGGGGAGGCCTGCAGGGTCTCCGAATCCTCCGCGGCGGCGAGGCTCGCTGCCAGGCGCTGGCGCTCGAGCGCAGACAGCTCCAGCTCCTCCTGGACCGCCGACACCTGCGCGGGGAGAGCGTGGGACGCCTCCAGTCAGCTCCCTCCGTGGCATCCAGAAGCCCTGGGGGGCTTCACTATCTCCAACGGTCGCGAGGAAAACCACGCCGTGGACCTTTCCGTGGTTTGGCTCTCACGGGGCCGCTTTCGGGGTGGCAGAACGGTAAAGCAACGACCCACGACGAGAGAAACTGGTCTGGGGGATGGGGTCAAACGCTCTGCGGGCCCACGTTGTGAAAAAAAACACGTCGGGGGTCTGGCCAGGAGGGTGACGGAGAGGAGCAGGAAACCGCGCGCCATGTTTTGAGTGAAGGGAAGAGGAGGAGGAGGAGGAGGAGGAGGAGGAGGAGGAGGAGGAGGAGGAGGAGGAGGAGGAGGAGGAGGAGGAGGAGGAGGAGGGAGGAGGAGGAGGAGGAGGAGGAGGAGGAGGAGGAGGAGGAGATGAGGAGGAGGAGGAGGAGGAGAGGAGGAGGAGGAGGACGAGGAGGAGGAGGAGGTGGAGGAGGAGGAGGAGGAGCAGGAGGAGGAGGAGGAGGAGGAGAAGGATGATAAGGAGGTGGAAGAGCAGGAAGGGGCGAAGAGGGGGGAGAAGGAGAGGAACAGGAGGGGCGGAAGTGGAAGGGGGACCTGCAGGAGTGAGGCGGGGTAGGGGATGAGGAGGAAGGGGAGGTGAAGGACAGCACTAGATTTCGATGCTGTAGGCCTCGTTCCCTGGACAGCATGGCACACGTTCAACACAAGACGCACACCTCACCTCACCTCACTACCACACCGTACGTTACCCGGCAGCACACACACACACACCACACAAACATTGGTATTTACACCTGCGTCAACGTTTCTTCCATCCAGCAAGGGAGAGCTATCCCAAGCTCGACACTTTGGCTCCCAGAACCAGAGAAGCAAGCATGCTGGATGAGGCCAGATCGCACGCGGGACAACTCTCTGACATCCAGCGGTGCCCTATCACCGCCGTAATACGCATCTCTGCGCAACAGCTGCTGCAACACCTGCCAAACCCAGGCGCACCTATCGGCCACGGCGTTAGAAGGGTC